TTAGAACCTGTGGCTCTCAGCAAAGCCTTTATCCTGGGGTGTGTGTGTGTGTGTGTGTGTGTGTGTGTGTGTGTGTAGGGGGGTAAATTATAGTTCTGCAAGAACACAGAACCGGGCAAGGAGTCAGGTGGAGATGATGAAGGATCAGCCCATTGCTGACTGTCCTGGTCGTGTGTCCCAGGAGGCTGGGCAGTGGGGAAACCCAGGAAGTGTCCCTTGCAGCTCCTGAGAAGTGACCCCAGCCGCTTGTCTTTTGCCTGACAGCAGTGAAGGCGGAATGTGACGCCTGAACAAGACCGTGCTGTCTCCCTCTCTCTCCAGCTCTTGCAGACCTGGGCTGCAGATTGGAGGTGACTGAAGCAAAGGCTGTCTGAGGGCGAGTGGTTTTCAGGACTGGGGCTCCATACTGAGGATTAAAGAGACAGCAGTCGGGAAGCTCTTCTCTTGGGAACTTTGCAAAGTCTGAGTGGACTCTTGGCCAAGATTTCTCATGAGAGTGCAGGTTCTTGGGGAATTTTGTGCCGAGTCTCCTGGCGTTCAGTGGCCTCTGGCTGATTTGCTTCAGCTAAGGGGCTCTGTCTTCTGCCAGCGACTTCACACACACTCTGTGTCTCCTGTGTCTGAGATCAGGTGAGGTCACCCTTCTGGCTCTGGCTTGAGGTGTAATCTTTTGTGTACAGGCGAGCGTCTTGCTTGTCAGGGAATGGCTGGAATCTCCCAAGTAGTTTTTCCTTAGGACACGAGTAGTTGGAGAAAAGTTCCGAGGAAGCTGAGACCCTTTCCCGGTCCACCTTGGGGTCTGCCCACGCAGGACATGTGGCTTGGGAGCCCGGGCTGAATTTTCAGGTTTCTAGGTGCAGCAGAGCTAACTCGTTAGTGGAGCGCTCAGGCCTGCACTGCTGGAGAGGCCCTTGCAGACTGACTGACTGACTTACTTTTTTTTTTTAAAGATTTATTTATTTGAAAGACAGAGTTACAGAGAGAGGTAGAGACACAGAGAGGTCTTTAATCTGCTGGTTCACTCCCCAGGTGGCTGCAAAGGCCGGAGCTGCACCAATCCGAAGCCGGGAGCCAGGAACTTCTTCCCAGTCTCCCACATGAGGGCAGGGGCTAAAGCACTTAGGCCATCTTCTACTGCTTTCCCAGGCTACAGTAGAGAGCTAGATCAGAAGAGAAGCAGCCAGGGCTCGAACCAGCGTCCATATGGGCTGCCGGCGCTTCAGGCCAGGGCTTTAACCTGCTGTGCCACAGCGTCAGCCCCAGACTTACTTTCAAATGCTCATCTTGAACGTGGAGCACAGTGAGGCTCTCTGGGGCCATGACCCAGCTTGCCGAGAGGCCTAGCATCCCGAGGTTGCGTGGACGCCCTCCTCCACGCTGCCTCCCTTCCTCATCGCCCTGGGCCGCCTCTCTCCTCTGCGTCTGCTTTTGGGTTGGCTCTCAAGTCCTCCTTGTGGACCCTCACACTTCTCTGTCAAGAGCGGTCTCATTCTCTGGTGCAGAAGCCCCCCAGCAGGATCCGCCACCTGCAGTCACCTCCTTGTGTTGAATCTGACTTCAGACCTTCTGAACTCCAACAACCCTGCTGACGGTTGCTGAACGCTCACCATACGCCAGGCACTACTGAATTTTAAGCTTTCCAATTGCGCCTCCTTAGGACGGAAGCACTGCTGTTAACTCCAGGACATAGATGGCAAAGGGGAGGCCAGGAGAGGCCCTGTGACTTGCTTACAGGCACACAGCTCTGAGCAGGCGAAGTCAGAATTTGAGCCAGAACGGGACTGACTGGCTCCTTGCAGTTTGAGCCCAGGCTGCCTTTCCCCGTGAGCCCTCCAGACTGCAGCCTGCCAGCGTTGTCCTGCTCAGAACCCAGCCCCCAGGCCATCGCTACACTCTGTCTGCGCTCCTTCTGCCCGGAAAGCCTTCACCTGTTCGTGGCCCGTGCCTTGCCTCCTGGCCCGTGTGTACTGCCAGGCCCGTCTCTGGCAGTGCTCCCGGGGTGGGTCCGTGCGTGGAAATCACCTGGACACCTGGTCAGTGCACATGGCCAGATCCCGGCCGTGGGCGTCTGTGCCCGCAGGTCATGGACGGCTGCTGACTGTTGTGCTCCTGGGTGCTGGACGTCCTCTGTCACTGTCATCATTTGGTTTCGCTGTGCTTGCTTGCAGCGGGGCAGGGCCAGTGTCACTGTGTGCTGCTGCTTGTGGGCAGCGCTCGGGGTGTCAGAGGTTTGAATCCTCGGAGCAGGAGAAGCGGAAAAGAACAATGTGGTGCTTTCACAGCTTCCCTGAGCACAGGCAAGAAAAGGTTTGCAAGATAGAATTCCCTTCATTGTAGGCCATGTGCTGTGCAAAGCGCTGGCTTTCTCAGAGGATCTGTAGTGGTAGCCCTGAGTCCGACTGGGCTGGTAAGTGGGTGCCAAGAGTGGATCTGGCTGGCTTTGGTGTGCACACGATGGCCAGGAGGAGCCCCTGCCCCGATCCGCACGGAGCTCCCACGTGGCGTGAGCAAGGAGGAATCGTGGGATCCTCAACGTGCCGGCGTCCAGTCTGTAGCCGAGGGAATTGGTGTCCAGTCAAACCAGGTAACCAGAGCAGCAGGAGCCTCGGGCAGAGTCCAGTGCGAGAGGCAGCCAGAGAAGGACCGCTGCGGGGGCTTTCACCGTGGGCACCTGTGCTGTGTGTGTGGCGCTGTGCTGAGTGCTGGTATTGCCACGCGCTTTTCTCTGATCCTTGCGATAACAGTGCAGAATGGTCAATGTCGCTTCATTCAGGATCACGCTGAAGGGTGGTCGCGTGCCAGCAGCAAGGGCGGACGAGGCCCAGAGATCGGGACAAGGCTTTTCTCGCCCCCTGAAGCCCCCACCCCATGTCCTTCACCTGGCTCTGGCCCCGGCTCCTGGGCCCTGGCCAGGGCCTCAGAGTAAGAGCTGCCGGCTGAACATGCGCTGTTCTCTCTATGGGGGGCTGCAGGTGGCTCTGGACACACCCCTCCCGGCACACGGGTGCTTGCGCTAGAGGTGACAGGGAAAATCAGGCCGTGAGCATCTTTTAACCAGTAGCTTGGTGGCTGGAAATGGAAAACTGAGTTTTTGTAGCTAAGAGGTGCTCTTTTCAGATAGCACCCAGAAAGTGGTGAGGGTGGTTCCTGGATCAAGAGATCCTGCATCAGATCCTGCGGCCTCACCCCAGACCCACGGGATTCAGCCCCAGCGCATGTCTTCCCGCTGCCCCTCTCTTACGGGGGATTTTCATAGGCTGAAGTCTGAGTGCTCTTCGGAAGTGACTGCATTCGGCTCCACAGAGTTCCCATTAGGAAGGCGCTCGTGGGACCCCAGACTTGGACCAGGAGCTGGCCCTTGGTTGACCTTTCCTGAGTCTGAAAGTGTCCCGATGAGAGTATATGCGTCTGGTGAGATAATCTAACTAAATCAAGCTTTGCCGTTTATGAACAAGAGACTAGATGCACGGAGACAAACTGCAAACCCTGGTGCTGTTTATGTAAGAATATGTTTGTAGCTTCTATTCCAGTGCATTTCATGGGCAATAAATATTATCTGTGTACTGAAAATATTTCCACTGACCTTTGATTTTTGTTTCTTGGATATTGATTACAGTCCTATTACTACCTATCTTCTATAAAGGTATTTATGGCATATTTATTATCTCAGCTATCAGATAATATAGTCTTAGCATTTTATCTGTGGAAACAGTCTGGAAGTTTACAAAATAAGGGTTCATAGCCACATATAGCTTGTTAAAGGATCGTTTTCAAGTTGCCATGAATTGAACACAGCAGCTTGGTGGCACTAAATCATGGGCTATAGATATCAGATGAGTAAAAATTGGGGGATTGAATGCGTGAGAGTCCTTTTTGTGATTTTTCCAGATTTCAGGTGTGATCAAAAGAAGTTCTTCCAAATTCTTAACAAAGTGAATTTGGCTAGATTTGAGGTTTCCCAGGATGAGTGATCCCAGATAGCATGAGTGGACCTAATCTGTCCCTAGAGAGCCCACAGTACAAATCTTTCCAACATATGTCTTACCAGTAGTTTTCAGTCTCCCAAAGGATTAATGATTAAAGATGTTGTGTTATATACAAGGAATTTTGGGACTTGTCATCAGGAGACCTGAAATTTCTTCTAGACTTTTCTCAAAAGGCTGCACGATCTCTCTTGACTTTGTGAAGTCTAGTTTTTATAGTTTTGGTGTGTTTGCTTCATTTTTTAATCTGTAAGTTGGTAGGTGTTGGTTTAGGTAAACTATGGCTGTGTTATCTCCACTAAAAGAAAAATAATCTTGACCTGCACAGTAGGAATATGAACATAAATAAAATATAAACTAGGAACCAGCCCTGTGGCGTAGCAGGTAAAGCCATTGCCTGCAGTGCCAGTACCACATATGGGCGTAGGGTCAAGTCCTGGCTGCTCCACTTCTGATCCAGCTCTCTGCTATGGCCTGGGAAAGCAGAAGATGGCCCAAGTCCTTGGGCCCCTGCACCCACGTGGGAGACCCAGAAGAAGTTCCTGGCTCCTGCCTTTGGATTGGCTCAGCTCCGGCCATTGCAGCCATTTGGGGAGTAACCCAGCAGATGGAAGATTTCTTTCTCTGTAACTCTGCCTTTCAAACAAATAAATAAATCTTTAAAAAAATGTGTATGTCTTTTAATATTTTTTCTTAAAGCTTTTCAGAATCTGTGTTTAGAAAAAAGAATTATGGCAGACTAGTTTGAATAAATTTCAATGAATAGAGAAGATTATCTGTAAAGTTAAATTCAGGGTTCATTTTTTTTAATTATAGATATTATTGACTCTTAATTGAAACTTACTTTCAGCGTGTATGGATTTAGTAGGCGTAATAAAATATTACTGCTTTGTTTTCTGAAATTAGCCAGAATTTTAACTGATACTTGTGTTTTCACTGAGGTTTGGCTGTTTTCTTTTTGTAATATTCTTGAAATAAAAAATATAACTCTATTAAATCTGCAATATTTTCTTGCAGCGATCCATATGTGAAACTTTCCTTGTACGTAGCAGATGAGAATAGAGAACTTGCTTTGGTACAGACAAAAACAATTAAAAAGGTAGGTGGCCTTCCTTAACTTGACTTTGTTTAAGTCCTGATTTTTTCTTCCAGTATTAAATCTGAAAATTCTCCATAGACCAGAGCTTTTCTATATTAACCCAAGATTCTGGTTTTTACTTAAGTGACTGTAAAAAAAAAACAGTATTCTCAAGATAATTCTTAATACAAATGGTAATTTTTGTCTTGCAAAGAATGCAGCAAAACTAGCCTTTGTTCTTGTTTTTTTTTTTTTCACTTAAAATAACAACATACGTTGATTAAAATGGAATGGTCTATGCAATTGGTAGGCAAGAAATGGTTCATCTCTTAGCAAAGGAAGCCGAAGCAGAATGCTGCATAGCTATGTGCAAACACATAGCAGATTGATAACAAAGAAGCATATGTGGATGTGTGTACATATATACAGGTTTTATTTTCCTAAGTCTTATGTACATTGATTTCGTTTAAAAAAATTGTTTCAGTAATTCTAATTACATCTTAATTTACCCATCTGCATGTTTTTGTCGGTATCAGGGAAATGCACACGAACGTTGGCTTGGCTTGCTTGGCGGGGACTTCATTGACAGTGCAGGTGCTGTGTCATCAGCACTGGTTCCCTCTCTGCTTTGGCAGTATTGTGGGGTGTTTTGCCTCACGCCTTCCTGCCTTCCTGCGGGGAGTGGTCAGATGGTCTAAGGCTTTGATCAATGAAGGGGTCCTCCCAGCAGCCTGGGGCTTTAAAAAACGGTTCCCGTGCCACTGGCTGGCAGGCGCTGCAGGGCTGTGAGGAGCAGCGACTGCAGCGTGTCCTCCGCCTGGCGTTGGGGCTGGCACTGAAGATCCGTTCTGTAAACGGGAGCCAGTGTTCTGAGCAGAGGGAGATGCCGGTGGAGGACGGAGGCCATTGTTCCCCGTGTTAGGCGCTGTCACTTGTTCCCGGGGAGAGGGAGCGGGGCACCTTGCTGAGAAGGCAGCTGGGGGCCTGGTTGCCTGCTGGACCCGGAGCCAAGGACCCAAGCAGGGCACCCAGGAGCCATCGAGCGGGGACATTGCAGTAGACTGCTGCCTTCCGAGGGCAGGTCCTCTCCCTCCCTCGCTGTCCACGGTGGAGGGGCTCCCTCCCTTCTCTCTGCAGCCAGCCTCCGGTTAGTATGTATGCCTGTGTGGCTCGCATCCTCACCCCTTCCCCGCTGTCACTGTGCTCTCCCGTGCTGTCTGCTTCTCTCGCCTGTCATTCCATGCTCCCCCACCCCGCCCGACCCCAGACCCCCGATGCCAAGGGAGCTTGGCGGCCGCTCCCCCCTGAGCTGGCTCCTCTCTCCCGCCCTTTCTCTCCTCACCATCCCACCCCATTCATATCCCAACCTGTGAGACCCCTTTCTTTAGGATTGGATTCACTGGGGAGTTGTGGGTGGGGAAAGTGCGGATTTTTTTAAATGCCAGTATGAGTTCTGTGTTTTGCATTTGTATGGTGCACAGTGCTGATTTTTTTTCCTTCTCCCTGTATTTGTATGTTAAAGGAAGTAGGTGGATAAAGGTGAATAAGATTTTGGCTTAAAAAACAAGAATCTGTAGCTATTGATTAGGTGGTGATTGTTCAGTGTCGGATTTTTACACCTGAATGTGAACAGGCATGTTTTACTCGTGGGTCCTGTGCGTGTACACACACACGCGCACGCGCACACACACACGCGCGCACACACACACGCACACACGTGTGTTCCTTTTTGGAATCTGCTCCCTCTTGAGTTTGAAGGAAGTCAGACAGATCCTCTTTTTTCCGTGTTGAAGACAAAAGGGTCCTTGCTCTATTCTTAGCAAGTGTGTATCTCAGAGTGGTAGCAAAATGGATAGGTAGATAAATGGAGAGGACAATTGATGAATAAGTTGATATTTTTTTTTGCCAGTTATTTTAGAAAAAAAATGTAATTCCCTTTTGGTTATACTCAGCAGGTTTATTTTTTCTCATTACAAAACCTTATCATCAGTAATGTTCCTTAGATGAATTCTGAAATGTGAAGAACTTATCAGTAATCACTTCGAGCCTTCTCCTGCCTACTTAACTGGTCTCCCAAACAGATTTTTGTAGCAGGTGGCGGGAAGTCAACACGGTTCATATCCTTCTTAATGGAATAATGACACCAATGCTAATGTCCTAAAGGGAGTTTTTTTTTTTTTTTGTAAGCATTATTATTTATTTCAAATGCAGAATTAGAGCAAGAGAGGGAAAGACATAGAGATCCTCCATCCACTGGTTCACTCCCCCATTTGGCCATAATGCCCAGGGCTGGGCTGGGCTGGGCTGGGCTGGGCTGAAGCCAGGAGCTTCTTCTGGGTCTCCCACATAGGTGCAGGGGCCAGGCACTTGGGCCATCTTTCTACTGCTTTCCCAGACACATTATCAGGGAGCTGGACCAGAAGTGGAGCAGCATCCCATATGAGTGGCTTAATGGGCTGTGCCACAGTGCCAACCCCTTGAAGGGAGTTTTTGTATTTACTCTTTGAAGGTCCCTGGTGTGAGTCCTGTGCTGACAGCAGGTGATTTATGGCTTCCTGTTTCTGAGCCCGCTGTTTCATAAATGTCCTCTCTCCCCATCTCCGTTGCTTTGTGGAATACTCCCAAGTAGTAAGCTGAATGCTGTTCTTATTGGCATTCCAACAATCTCAGTTATTATTTATCAAGAAGAATGTTTAAGCAAGTGGGTGGCTAGTATTATACTAATACCTGTAGCGTTTCCCAGACTGTTAAAGACACTCTGTGATAATTTCTCTTCCAGACGCTGAACCCAAAGTGGAATGAAGAATTTTATTTCAGAGTAAGTTTTCCGTTTTGTGGTAATAAGTGTTATTATTCTGGGTTGATATATTATCATGATAGATTTCTATTGAGGGAAAATTGCTAAATTTTTAATGAGAAATTCCTTTCAAGATGAGAAGGTAGGGTAAGTTCCTGATGGGCCTTGGAATCTAAATGACAGTGGCAGTCACAAATTCTGGACTTGTTTCAGTTGGGATGTTTGGAGCAAGTAAAAAGTGATCCAAATGCCATGTTTTCTCTTTTCAAATCAAACCTTTCTTTGAAAAATTAGATACGATATAATTTAAAACCACAGATTTATTTCCATGAGACATAAATTAGAAATTATTTTAGAGGTAGAGTAACAGTAGTCGCAACATGATTAGAACCAACTGTGATTTGGTTAGGGAAGAAAATTTTTATAATTCAAATATTTAGTGTGTAGGTAGGCACATAGTCTAAAATTACTTCTGGAATGTAGTGCCACCAAATGAGGTGAAATTTCACCCACCTTTGATATTTACAATCTAGAACAGCTGTATACAGAAACGCATGAATTTTGTGAATCAACTGAAATTTCTGCTTTGTGAGCTTTTGGGGTTGTTGTTTGTTGCCACGATTGTGAAAGTGCTAAACTCATCAGCTGTGACACTGAGAGAGTTTTGGAGAGATCCTATGTCTGGCCTCCTTTTAAATGACCCCGGGAGTGACAACAAAGCTGTTAGGGGCTGATAGGAGTTACTGGACGTTAGCTAAGTCTGACATACGGGCTTCCGCTCATGAAACTCCAACTTACCTGATCCTTTCTGGAGAACACTTTGGCCACATTTATGAAAATTGTAGTTCATTCAAAAGTTTTCTCAACCAATCTTGGCTGTGGATATCCTTTCTTTTCCTGAGTGTGTGCCTTTATTCATTCCACACATCTTTGTTATGCGAGCTCCTGCTGCAGCCTGCAGGTGCATTGGTCAGCAGCTCGGCCCTTCACCAGGCTCAGGAGCAGACAAGAAGCCCACTGTCCACCTGCTGGCTCGGTCAGTGGACTGCGGAAAGGTCAAGGGGCCGGAGCAGAAAGCCGAGCCTTCTGCACACGTGTGGTCAAATGTGAAGCAGTTCCGTTCTCTCTCTGAGGCAGCCGGGGCCTTGGAAGGCGTCCTGCCTGGGTCACAGCTCTGGCTTTACCATTTCCTGCCTTTGTGACCCTGGAAACGTCACCCAAAGGCTCTAAGTACTCAGATGGGAGAGGATGGTTTCCAGGTTTACGTGTGATGATGTAAATCAGAACAGCAGCACCATGTCTCGTGGGTGCTCGCTGTTACTAAATGACGCCGAGTGTGCGTGAGCACCAAGACCATTTGGGTTAGGTTTTGGTAAAGAACAAGAAAGAAGCAAAAATGACACTGCAGGTGCAGTAGCTTTGACCTTGGCCACAGGTTGCTGAGCGGAGAAGCATCCCTTATTCCCAGCTCTCTCTGCAGGTTGCCACCTGGGTCCTGGAGACAGCAGGCCAGACTTGCGTGGGGCCTGGCCACCCACCACGCTAGCTTTGACTGGGATAGCCTGCTTGACCCTCATGGATTCAGCCCCTCGTTTGTCAAATTGGGATGCTAAACACTGTGGGGTTGCCGTGAGGATTAAATCACATATTGTAAGTGTTTAACCAGGAGAGAGTGCCTACAAATAAATGCAAATAAGTGAGAGGAGCATTCTCTTCATTGCATAATTTTTATCATTACCATTGCTATAATTAGGCCAGGACGATTCCTGCAGGCAGGGGTCTTGGTGAAGATGTGGTCTGCAGGTGTGGGAATGCCTTTTGTAGAGATTAGGAACTCTTGAAAGGTGTTTAGAATTGTCCTTTCTTATTTCAGAAAAATAGCCAAGAGCCTTTTCTTCTTCTAACAGGCCTGAGTATCGGGGGTAGAATAATGCAGAAACTGATAATATCAGTGTTCCGGAATTTCTAGAAGAGCATGCTAATTGTTGATGTTGCACAGCTCAGTTCAGTGCATTCTAAGGCATTATTCTTTCAATGGATTCTTGCTCATTTTTGAAGTACTGTGTGCATCCCTTGCAGGTAAACCCATCTAATCACAGACTCCTGTTTGAAGTTTTCGACGAAAATAGACTGGTAAGTGGGTCTCCACTTTTAAGTTTTGGAGCAGCATCGTTCAAATGTTGTATTTGTGTAGAGCTTAGAACACTATGCACAACCCAAGGGAAGACCATTTTTATTTTACTGCCGGTAAAGATTCTGTTTTTGTGTTGCTAGGGCAGTGGAGTTATGGGATGTGTGTATTTTCATCACAGTGAGTATCAGTGGCAGTCACTGGTGATGGTTTCAGTCTGTATGCTTAACACAGTGGTGCTGGGAATATGTACCGGATGTGGGCAGATTTGTAAAGGGGCCATCAGGCGTGTAAGCCAGCCTTGTGGGGTTTTAAAAGTGGAAGCCAGACTACAACATTGTGATGCCATTAATAGTAAATCTATGGTGATTCTAGGAAAACAAAAATTAATTAACAGTATGTAACATAATGTGAATCTATACTTAGCAGGTGAAATGAAGTTGTATTTTTAAAGTGGTACTTTCCTAAGAGAGAACCTTAGTACTTTTAAAAAACCAAAGATATGCCCGAGGCATATAAATGGTATAAATGAACATTTTATATATAGATTGGTGTGTGTGCATATTACGTTCATGTGTATGAAATCTGCGATTTCATTTTAGAAGCAAAACCTGGCTGAAGCAGCTTGATTTCTTAACTAACCAGAACGTATCCCTCAAGTTACCTGGGAACCACGTGTTCCCTCTGTGACAGTGAACACCATCACGTAAGGCCTTCCAGTACCCTCTGTTACAACCCAGCGCACTTGGCTGGATTGAAACCTACCTTTCCGGAAGCTTACGTATGTTGATTGATGAAAAGGAACGTTCTTATGGACCCCTCTTTCTCCAAAATTCAACTGGCACTCCAGATTACGGAATACATCAGTCAGAGCAAGTGCCAGGTCCAACTTTCTGGGCTCCTAGGTCTCAGCCCCGTGGTGCAACAGCCAGCTAACTGACCCTTGCTAAAGACTTTGGGAGGATGCTTGATCCCATATGCTTGGGAGTATTCTCCAGAAGACCGTGGTCAGGTTAGGGTTAGCAGTAGTCAGGTAGCAGCAGGTCCCTGCACTCTGGGAGACGCCTATGCCTAATCCTCACCTTCCTGAGTGTGATGGCTTTTCATTATTTTTCTTGTGTTACGAAAAATCCACTGTTTAAAAGTTAAGTTTCCATTTCCATGGTCTACCATAATGCCTGTGGTGGAGCCAGCCTTGCCATGGGTGGGAAACTGCGTTGCCAGTCTTCAGAATGGGCAGATTTGCGGAGATCCTGAGTGACGACCCCAGGCTTTATTTGAAAGGTTGTGTCTCACTAATTCCCACCTCTGCCCCCAAGGCCATCTGTAGTGTTGCTGATGTTTTTTCCTTTGTTGGCTATAAATGCAACAGAGATAATCCACGTCTGTAGCAGCACTTGGAAGTCTCAGCCTTAAACAAACGAGTTCCCATTTCTCTCAGGTCATTTTGGGCATGTAAGACCCATGCTTTGAGAACACACTTGGGCTGTGTGTGTAAACACAGGGTTAAGCCTCCACACCCTGGGCTCCAGAGCTGTTGACAAAGTCATGCTTTGCAGATTTTAAAATAAACTTTTTGTCACTCTTCACAGCTTGGCATTTTTCCCTCCTAATTTTTTTTTTACCCCCTCCTAAATAAACCTTTGTTAAATAACTGATGTTTCTGGGTCATAGAAAAGTTAAGTTTAAAGCGCTCAGAATATTTCCCAGCGAACTGCAAATCTGATGACAGCTTTTTGAATGTGCACTTTTATTTCTTAGGTCCCGTCTGGCTCCTTGCACACATATCAGGATTCCATGTTGTAGCCCAACTGTGGCAATGTTGCCGACTTTTTACTGGAAAACAGCTCCCCTAAAAGCATTTCTTCTGGATGGTATTTAAATTACCTCAGAAACCCCATGCACACCACGGCTTGATTTTTCCTTCTTTTTTTCCCCAATCCTACCTGGCATGTGTAAGCAAATATTTTCACCAGCTCAGTTCCTGTCCTTTGCTGCTTCCCCGTCTGATAATCATAATATAAATGAGGGGAACACACACATGCACACACACACAGGCCTTTTAATTGAAAACTGTCCTAACAGCAGGCGGATGGGGCCGACAAACGGCCGTAGAGCGAGTTGTGCCCCTCTGTCTCTCCACGGAGCTATTTTGTTCCTTGGAGATCACGGTCTAATTATTTCTCAGGAGGGGGACCCTGATTCGGTGGGGGCGTGTAATCGTATTTATAGTACGTTTTACGAGTTTGCATTCCGGCATCGTAGGGTAGTGATATCATAAATAACAGAAACACAGCGCGCACCGCCTGGGGAAGGGGTTCCCCCCTCGCGCAGCCCCCGCCGCGTTTCCCTGTCGCTGCCTGGGGTGGTGGGAGCTGGGAAGCCCCGTGGGCGCTCTGTACGCAGTGCAGGGCCCCCGGCGCCCTCCGGACAGTCCCAGGGCTCCGCTCCGCTCCGCTGGGAGAGAAGCGTCCTGCCAGCGCAGTGCTGGGAGATTTACAGCCCAGGGTCCCGGTGCTTGCTGCCCTAGGCAGCTGCGAGAGCTCCCTGCTGGGGCCACTCCTTGCTGATGGAAAAGCAACAGCTGGGAAGGTGCTGTTTCAGGCCCTCGCTGTTTAAAAAAAAAAAAAAAATGAGGAGGAGAAGGGGGAAACCGCACTAAGTCCACAAGCTGGCATTGGAGGGGGAGCGCGCGGTCATGTGCTCCTGGCCACCCTACCCTCGGCCCAGCGCGGATGAGAGCTCCTTGCTCTTATCCAATCATGCCTGGAATGCCGCTTGCCACTTGGGTTATTTCTGCTATCTGTCGCTCCCGGTGCCGCAGTGCTAACGGTTTGGCAGATGGGACACTTTTTCTTGGAGTTTTCGCCCTCGGTCCCTGACTTCTGGAAGCGCCGGGCTCGTTGTTGCCGCTCGCCTAGCGCGTCCCGGCCCCCCGGATCACCATGGCCCATCGGCTTCGGTTTCATTTTGGCTCTGGGCGCAGCCACACAGCCCCCGAATCCGAGATCCTAGACCAGGAGAGAGAAGAGGACTTTTTCATGGCATTCCACACGCTGCCGCGGAGGAGCAGCCCGCACCCCTGCGCCCCGCACGGCACCGCGCCCGGTGGCGGCGGCCTGCAGGACAGCGTGGGCGCTCTCAAGCGCAGCTCGTCCATGTTCATCCCTCAGCTGCTCACCGGCCTCGACGCCCGGCCCACGCGCAGCTCGTCCGTGCAGATCTCCCTGCAGCGCAAGGCCGCCGATGGGGCCACCGACGGGTGCGGGCCGCCCGAGGGCCCCGAAGGCCACAGCGAGGACAGGGACCAGGCCGCGGCCGCCAGGGCCTTGGCCCCGAGTGGAGCCCCGGAGCCCGCCCAGAGGGACGTGTCTGGGGGCTCCCCACCGGGAGCCTCCCGGGACCCCGGCCCGCTGGTCAACGGCACTTGCGGCCGCCTAGTGCGGGGCCCCGGCCGCGGCGAGGGCTCGGAGGAATCCGTGCCCGGCCTGCGCATCCAGCACCGCGCATCCAGCGCGGACGTGCGCCAGGTGCGGCTGCTGCCCCTGGGCCCCGATGGCGCCGCCGAGCCCAGGCGCTGGTCCTTGCAGCACGTCCCGGATGCTGCTGGGAGCTCCGGGAAGCGCTGCTTCGTGTTCCAGCTGCAGCAGCCCCCAGTGGGCAGCCCGGGGCTGGGCGGCGACTTCAACTTCGGCTTCACGGGCACGAAGGGCGACAGGCTGGTGCGCTATCCCCGCATCCGGCTGGAGAGGAGCACCTCGTACCCTACGCAGCCGCGGGCCGGGCGAGGGAGCCCCACGGAAGACCGGGCCGCACCGGAGGCACCGCCGCGGGCCGGCAGGATGGCCCCGGAGATCCGCAGGACGAACTCGGCCGAGAGGGCTGCACAGGGCCAGGGTTGCATGTTTAAGATCAGGCAGGAGCCGAACGTTGGGCAGCAGCATTTCCGGATTCTGGTCACCCGGGAGCCCGAGGAGGCGCCGGCCACTGCCACGGAGGACCCCGCTGAAAGCCCTGGTCCCGCCGGGGCCGTGGTAAGTGCGCGGCCAGGGCTCGAGTTCCGGCGGGCCGGGACCATGACATTCGGCCCAGTGTGCGGGAGAGGCCCGCAAGGCGAGTGAGCGGTCCAGAAAGTGGCCTGTCTCTAGGCCCTCAGAGTTGGAGAAACCTGTTTTGGAAATTCAAGCAAAGCATACTATTTTTTTTTTCTTCCCTCTCGCTTCTGTATAGAATAATTTTGAAAATTTATTACTTGAAATTAATCTGCCAAAAAAACAGGTCGGTGGCCCGGCATGTCTCGGTGCGGCCTGGCACAGCCCTCTGGGGTAAGGAGCAGGCGGCGCCGCAGAGGGCTCGAGGCGGAAGGCGGGTCTCCCTTGCAGCGCCTGGTGGGAAGGGGGCGGCCCTGGGGTCCTTCATCGTCTTGGGTTTTGTCCTGTGAGCACTGAGCAGGAGCAGGGTGGGCCAGGAGGAGATGGCGTTGTTGAAGCAGACCGGCTCCTGGGCCGAGGCTGGGGGTCCCTAGGGGGACCTCGCCGCCTTCCAAGCTGGGAGGGCCCCTGCTCCGGCTGTGGCCATGTCCACCCTGGAGCGGCTGTGGCCTGTGGGTGACATGGAGCAGAGAGAGAGTTGCCGGCCTGCTGGCGAGGGTGACGCCGCGGCTTTTCCTGCTGGGAGCGGGATGCGGGCGCAGTCCTCGGCTAGTGGCTGCTGGCTCGCAGGCGCTGCCCGGAAGAACCAGCTCCCTGCGTTTCAAATTGGATTCCTCCCTCCCCACCACCACCGAATTTCATGTGATTGCGAGTTTGAGGATGTGATTATGAAATGCCTGGGGGATTTTTTGGTTTGGGTTTCACTTGCGAGTTATCTTCAGAGTGGGTGGTTGAGTATTAACTAGAATTGTGTTGCCTTTTGTTCGGAAATATTTCTGTCATTCAAGTGAGCTTTATCCCTGTTCTATCACTGGTTCTCACTGTTTGGAAGGTGCCGTCCAAAGCTAGGT